AATAGTTGATGTTACAGATGCAGGTGACGTAGATGTGTCCCCGAGGCCGAAACGGCTTATAAAGGAATCAAGCTTTGTCAAGTCCCCTTTTATACAGCTGGCGATTGATGTGACTAAGAAACTCGACGGGCACGAAAAAATGATTGCTAATTGGACATTAAAGAATGATGTACATGACGAGTATGTTGTCTGTTCCTTTTTTTTTCATATTACCATTACGACGTACTATGATATTAGATATTCGTGCGAGTTTATACTTGTGTATGTTTGATTATTATTCTAATTTATTTATTTTTTGGGTTCTTTCTTGATAACATATGCATGGTTACACGATCAGGGGCATCATTATTTTTCGATGTTCCCAATATTCCGTGAAGAAGCACGTCGTTTCATGTTTGCTTCCAAATTTACCAATTTCAAAAGAGTTGTTGGACGTGTGGTCGTTCATTCTGAACGGTATTGAAAAGTTAAAAAGACGTGGTGCGGCGAAATGCTTTTATGCATCTACGTCTCCGTGCAATGAGGTACGTTAATGTTCATTACGATAATGATATCTTAAATGTTTTGCATTCTTGGACGCGATACATTTGATTTTCATTTCGGCATGGTCTTTTGCAGCTATTTTGCAATGGTAAACGGAGGAAGGACCTGACTTACAAAAAGTTTGATCATGCTTTAGACTCGGAAATTGCACAAATGTCCCGATACACATTAGACCAGATTTCGGTGGTAAGTGAATACCCGTTAACAATAATGGTATCTGTATTATTACTGATTTTTTTTTTTATTTTTTATTTTATTTATTTATTTATTTATTTATTTTTTTTTTTTATTGGTGTGTTTTGTTTGATTATCCGGTTTAATTGTTGCTTAATATAAGAACAATATATCTTGTTGTGACACAGATTTTATAGACTAACGCGTGCGCATGTTTACTTTTTTGTTTATTCTATTTTATTTTTTAATTTTTCTTTTTCCTGTCTTCATGCGTTCATATCTACATAGTTCATGTTTCCTGTACACACGGTGGCTTTCTCGGGCATATTGTGCATAGCACCGGGAGTTCTGAAGCTCAGTATTGTCAATAGTGCCGGTACTCTTAAAGATGACGACATGAAGAAAGTGTTCATGTCTCATGTCATGTTGTTGGTAATGCCAATACAAATTGCTTCCTACTGGTGTAAGTATGTAATTTTCATTATTGAGGTATAATGATGAATTTCATCCTTTTTTTTTTTTATTTTCACAGAAGCAGTCGCTTTCAAAATATCTAGGTGAGAATAACCTCGCGAAGAATTCTAAAGCAATTGCATTGTGTGTTCCAAACGTCATCCCTACACCATGGACTGAGGGAGTTGACGAGGCAGATATCGGCGTGATAACAATGCGCCATATGGAAACATTCAAAAGCGGGTCTGCTAAAAGCTGGCATCCACAGATTAAGCGTGGAGATAAGGGACAATTGAAGCTCATGAGGAAGAGATATAGTTGTGTCATAGCATGTGCACCGAACAACGAGATAAAGGAAACAAATCTCACAGCTGCGAAACATTATCATCCTTTGTATTTGGAGACGAAGAAACGCAAGTCGGACTGATTGATGGATGAATTTTGTAGGTGGTCAAACTGTTGGCTTAGTACCTTTTTTGGAGACTGTTGGAATGTGTACGTGGATAATCTTAGTTTGTTGGAATGTGTATATGGCTATCTCTTTTGGTGGTTTAGTACTCGTTATGGTTTAACGTAGACAAGTTACTTTGTTGAAAACTTTCGGTAGATTGTGTATCCAATCTACTGGATCAGTACTTGTGTTGGTATCGGAAATATTTACGAATGTTTGAACTTGTAGGCGATGACCCTTATCTTTCGAATGTTTGAACTTGTAGGCGATGACCCTGATGGTATAGTGGTTTGTTTTGGTACCAATGGATGTATATTGTCAAGTGTGTCATAAAATGTGCATATTTTAGTGTATATTCGTGCAACACGTAGTTGCTATTGTGCATTTTGTGTGTGGCGTATATCAAAGTCATTTTATATGTGTATCTACACTGATATTTGTTGTTGTTAATAATATTGTTATACTTATTAGGCCTATTAGTAGTACTAGTATCACGACATTATGAAATTTGATAGTTACGTTGCAGTCCGTGTTGTGTTTCTTTAGCGTGCACCCCTTATCAAAATATCGTGCAGTTTGTGTACGATAATGTGCAAAACACTACGATTAATATATGCCGTGTTGGGTCATTTATTCGCAATGATTGTAAGGTTTTAGTTACTGTAGTTGTGCCATAATACAGTATAAATTCAATATTTATTGGACAAGCTAATCGGTGTCACCATGGTGACATGATATATTCATAAAGTGCAATTCATCAAACTATATTGTGCACACAACATGCGTTGTTGTGCTAAATGAGCTGCCTAGTTCCTGGTTCGGTGTCAATGCTGTTCACATCACACATCACACACGTGCATTAGCACGGGCACACCATTGAATTTAAAGTTCACGTTATAAAAAAGGATCGTGTACGTAATAATATCTGTACACAAAAGTAACATCCACGTCGTCCTGACACCACGTAAAAAAAAAAAAAAAAAAAATCTTTCTACTGATACTGATAAGGAATTTATTCAAGCACGCGTGCTATAAACGATGTCAGCGCGACATCCTTGCAACGAGGTCAATGTGTCATCACGGTGCTTCGAAATGGACGTTCACACCCACATCATGTCGGGGCCTGTTTAACGAAATATGTGACAATTAGTATTCACAATTGATGCACATACAACGCAAAGTAGACGGACGTGTAAAATAACTATAGTCAATATATTTCAGTACTTTAAAGTTTGTTCTGGCATCAAATATAATAATTATACATACATGTCTATTTTTAAACATCTAGTTGATCTGTACACACATCATATATAATTATACATATATATATATATTTATAAACGATCCAATTGAACTGTACACACATTATATAATCTGTAACATGTTTACTTACGGCTTTTTAGGGCATGTCCGTGAATCGTGCCCCACCCTCTCGCCGCATGTTTTGCAAAGCCTCTGCTTTTTCTGAGCTGACTCGATCGACTTCTCTTTGTTGGATTTCATCCTTTTTCCACTACCTTTGTTTTTCGACTGAGTTGGTGGGTGGATGCTTACTTCCGATGGGGCAGACATGCCAATGAATGATTCAAAAACATGTCCTTTGTCTTTGCTGGACGATTCATTTTCTCGATTTTCCATGAGTTTGCGCTTGTGCGTACCAATTATCCTGGAGAATTCTACAAGACTGTCCATGTTGTTCTCGACCAGCCCCATGCATATATATATGTCAGACCACAACTGGTTGACCATCGTTTTTTTCTCATCGATTTGGGCGCATTGTTCAGCAATGTCATCAAGTATATGGAACATGGGATTGCTAAAAGCAAGTTTTGTCCACCTTGACATGATATGTGTAGGTGGGATATCTTCTATGTTCATGTCCTTCAGAGCGACGAATACATGCCTACACAGCCACCCAAACATCTCGAAGTGTTTGCAAGAGCATTGCAATTTATTAAGACTCACATCATGCATTACAGTAAAGGTCTTCCCATCCACGTCTTTGATCATAAATTTCATGTTCCTGTCATCTTCAGAGAAATGCATAACTCGACACTTGAAACACGCATCACATATCTCGGCTTGCACACGATAGAATATCGTGGTCGTGTACACATTTAGTGCACACTTTTCAATTGACAACGGAGTTTTTAGCTCGGCTAGATGTGTCTCACTATCGTGCTGTAACTTTGTCGAGACATTTCGTTGTGCATCCATCGCACTATCAAAGTGTAGCAAGAATTCAACCAAACTAGAATGGTTATTCGTAAAACTGCTAAACCAATTATTCTCGCTCTTCGATCTAGATGTAGTCCTCATCAATCCACTCATTCCAATATCCCTAAAGTATGCCGGTATCCAGTGCTCTTTCTTAGCAAACAGATCGTTAAACCAACTATGGGTGTCTAGTGAGAAGTCGTTCATAATCGAAGCCCATTTAGTCTCAAATTCAGCAGGTTCTATAAGCCGGTTCCAAACAACTTCATTAATCCTCCGTTTGAAATTGGTATCACTACTCAAAGTATGGCCGACCTTATCACACAATTTGTTCATTATATGCCACGTACAAAAACGGTGTTTGCTACTAGTGAATACCTTGGTGAAAGCAATTCCAATGGAGGGATCTTGGTCCGTCACCAGGTAGTTGGGCTCTTGAATCATTGACTTCTTGAAGTTCTCGAACACCCACACGTATGAACCCACGTCTTCCTTTGATATCAAGGCCGCTGCAAACGTCACGCATTTCCCGTGGTTGTCTATCCCGGTGAAAGGAGCAAATATCATTTTGTACCTACAATACACCATATAAGACAACATCACATTATAGATTTGTATTGTATTCTGTTGTTTATATTATGTGGCGCACATTATGTTGCACACATATCATATTATGGCATACGTGCATAATAACAGTATTACCTGTTGGTATCATATGTGGCGTCAAACGATACGACATCGCCAAAAGAACCGTAGTTCCGTCTTGATATTGGGTCAGCCCAGAAAAGCCTCCGTAAGCGTTCTTTATCATCCAGCTCATAGTTAAAACAGAAAGCGGAACTATTCTCTTGTCGTTTATAAAACTTATCGATCACTATCTGAGCATCTGCTCCTAAGATGTATGCGAGGAGTTCCCTCTTGAAGTTTTTGAAGTCCACGTTGGTGGCACCAATATTTGAGTATCCTCCCACGATTTCTTTGTACAGCTTGTACGATTTGGTGGGCCCTATATTTGCTTTTATGCAGTTGAGAACAAAACCTTGATGTGCTGCAGTCATCGTCCGGTTGATTTTCAGGTGGGCTCTGCACTCTTCCGGTGTCATTGCGTGGTTGTGCCTCTCCTCAAAATATCTAACTATGTAGCCTTCAACTCCATGAACACGAAGCACGATTCGAGCTGTACACCCGACCCGATTGGATACTCGTCGTCTTATTACACGACCTTCGTTGGGTACCGTTTGGCCAGTGGTTGAATGGTGTTTGTAGCCTTCTCGCGAGCACACCAAATATTTCCAAAGAATGGTCTTATCAACCGCTTTCACCAACGTGCTATGTCGTATGTCAAAGCCAACTGTAGATGCATACGTTCGGTAAAAATCAACGGCCTCATTTAATGTGCTAAAGATTTGTCCTTTGCGGGGCCGAATCGAGTCTTCGCAATTGGGGATCCAATGTTTAGTTCCCCCGGGTGTTATCACGAGCTGGTGGTGGTGCTGTGATGGTCCCAATAATGTTGGTACTGCAGTATTTTATGAAAAAAAAAAAAAAAAAACTATCATACTTAGAAATTATATAATAAAAGCATAAAAAAAACACAATATATACATTATTTCATCTATATATTGATACATCATGTAACAGTGAAACAATGTGAACATTTAGGACAATATCATGCACTATGTTGTGTAATTCGTGCACTTTATATCAGCATGTACATGAGAGGATGTTGTAATCACATTTACATTAAGATGCTTGAATACCTTAATAGGATATTCCAAATAGAAACTTATACGATCTGTGCACGTTATATTAACATGTACATTTTTTCTGGATATAGAACCAAAATATACGTAAGAGATCTTCAAAAACTACATTTACCTGTTGGCGTGTTGATCAAATCCATTTAAGCAATCAACGTGCGTATCTGAAGTTGTGTAGATCGCTTAGTTTCCGAGAGCTGAGAGATGGTGGCAGCGATGCGATGTGGGCGGAGCTCGAGTTGTTTCAGTCTGCAATTTCTTCGCTAGGTCAACGAGCGATTCAGAGAGTTTGACAGAAGCAGGTACATCATCGATTACAATCAATTGTTCGATATCGAGCTTGATTTTCGATTTTTAGGTCGGGAATCGAGCTCTGGGATTTTTGTTTTCGCAGATTTAATGACGAGCCTTGGGATTTTTTCCCCAATTTAAGTCGCAAGCTTAGGGAAATCAGACGGTGCGTGTTTTAATCGGAGGTGAATTACCAAGCTACCCTCAACAGTTGTGCGCTTGTGACAGGATTTCAGCCGTCTGATTAGTTTGATCTTGTGGTTATGGTGTTTTCTTATTTCTTTCACTGGCACACTTTCTCACTGGAACTCATCCCTATATATATATATATAT